AGGTCGGCTCCACATACACACACGCGATCACTTTAGTCGCAGCACCACGTGCAAAGGAGGATAAGGTACTGTCAATCTGCATTTGCCGCTTTGCTATTCAAAAGCCTTTTTACTTTCGATACGCTAGTCTCTTTATGGGCATGTGCAATGGTTTTCTCGATACGCTCCCATTCTTTTAGGCGGTCTACTACCATTTCTTCCGAGTATCTGAACTCAATCTTCATTCATCGTAAGCTCACTGCTTGGTACTCGAAGCCATAATACCTGGTTGCACTTTGATTGCTCTCCTCAATCTTCTGCTTTCTTAGACATCCTTTGGCTCAGAAAGTGATAGCTTTTTCGCCTACACAAAATCGCAAAGACAACTAAGGCAAAGATGAACGAAAATATTATTGTTCTTTGTTTCATACTCTTCATTGACGACGAGGCCATGGTTGAAGAGAGAGGCTAGGCGGGACGGCGGGGGCAAAATGTCGACGCGAACGACACTGCGGTCGGCTATTCACCATATTGACAAGTATATCCAGCCCCTCACTGTGGAGGTACCAACCGATGCCAGGTTCGAAGTGAGGGCCTCCATTCCTCTTGATTTAGGCATCGGTTTTCCTTCTCTCATTATCTTCCATCAACATTCCGGTTGCGCAACTAACGCACATCGCGGGAGTTGGTGTGCTGGCATGCGCAACACGTAGTACAGCCCTCGGAGCCTGGAGCATGAAATTACCATATTGAGCGATACACTCGCTATTCGTGCAATATAAGCAAGTCGCCGAACACACTGATTGCTCACGCGGTATTCCCACCAGATGTAAATTAAGAAAGTCTCGTTGGTGGATCGCATCTAGTCCCTTTACGTCTACCAATCTAATAGGCCATGTTTCACAAGCTCCTATAAGGGTTGAATCGACGGCTGCATTGTAGACTCTCCACTTCAGGGCAAGCGTGATGTCGTGCCCGCACCACAAATAGCGAAGATTGGCAATGGCACCTCGAGCTTTTACTATTCGGTCCGTAGTGTTGTCTTCTATTCCGCAGTCGCTGATACAGTTGTCCAGGTAGTCGAATTTCGCAGGGAATTCCAGCGGTTGTCAACCACCTCACTGAAAAGAACTGAAGGATATCTTGTGAAAATCATCGTGTAATCAGTCTGATCCCATCTGTTTCCAGATTGCTGGAGTGCATCATTCCATGGCGATTCACGGATTCTTATGAGAAACGACTCGGTGGAAGTCAGACTAGTTTTCGCCCCAGCAGCAGGTGCATTGGCCACATCGAACTTCAACGTTCGTGCAAAAACTTATGATTGTACACTTTGTTTGACTTAAAGATCGTCTTTGGTTCCATCCATTTTTGGTGAATGCATTTAGGAACTTCCTCTTTCTTCCAAGATCCATACACTGCGTACCTCATGGACTTGTAGAGAGTTACAGAAACTTGTTTGAGTCCGCCACGTTAAGTGGAGTGCTTCGGGGTTGACATATTTCTCTACTTCTTTTCATGGATAACTACTCTTTCTCCCTCCAATTCGCCTAAGGTAGATATTCTGCTAGACAGCCATCTGTCAAACCTATACTATGATAACGTAATGCGCAGTCGTCTTACGAGCGCTACTGAACAGACTGGCGCGTAACTCTGCACACTCTGGCATTTGCTTTGCACCTTCAAAATGCAGGGTACCGCTGTAGAACCTGGTCGAATCACCACTAGTTCTCGCTACCACTAAGCAACCACTCGAACCCGTCGATCAGTTTATTTACCCGCGTAGCCGTCTCATCTATGACAAGCATCTGTCGAAGAAACTACGATATATGTTGCTAGGGCTAGCATGACTTTTCAAAGCCTCCGTCACTTATGGGGACGGCAAAATGTTAGTATTTCGGTTGGTGGAACGGTTTGCAACGTCGTGGTGCGGCCATTGATACTGTGTAGATTCGAAGTCTGGTCGCTGCACGCTGAGGATGTTGGGAAGCGGATTGCGTTTGATCACCAGTTCCTATGATGCATCACTCATATTATGGAATAATTGTGTGAGTACTAAGGGGGTTCGTCATTTACTATCTGGTAACAGGCCTTCCGCTGCCCCGTCGGAGTATTTGTTAAATTCGAATCGCGTCTGTTGGTTCCATCATGTGCTCCGCATGCCGTTTATCCAAGTGCGTGTCGTTTGCCAATACTGCGCCTGGCTGTGTGAAACCTGGCAGTGATCAATCAATTACATGGCAAAAGAACAGGATGCAACGCACCGAGAGACTGACTTTTGTTGGTTCATGGCGTCTCCCTGGATGGGGATCTCGAAACCAGCCACATCAGTAGTTGGACGCTTTATCAGATTTGGCCTACTCATGTAGTCGGTGGCGCTGCTGCATTCTTTCGCTCCCTTCAGGCCCTTGACCATTCCATTTGACGCTTTTAATTCTTGTTACGTCTTAAGTTACCATTGTTTCGGGGGACTTGTGTCAAACAACAATCCACCACACTTTAGTTTGCCAATCAAAGTTGAAGGACTGAACTGAATTGAGTCCTTAGTTCGCACTGTCACATAGACATCGGTGGCCTTATGTCAGTGAACGTTACCAGAACTGACTGAACTCTTTTGCTTATGCTCCAAGCGTGAAGATTCCGCGTTTCTCTGCACTTGATCTTCTAGACCAAGTTAGATGCAACGGCAATGCTCGGTTCGTTTTATCCTCTTTTGAAACCAACGCACTGCTTTCATCTCGTGCTCCATCGTCGCAGCTTTTCTTTGTATCGAAGCGATTACACCGATTAGTCACTCTGATCTTTACATTCCTAGAAGTGTTCCAGGAAGGTCGGCTTCGCTTGAGACCTGACTTTCCATCTCTATATGAGCTTTCCTTTGAGGCCTACGGAGAGGATAGATCATATAAGGGTGCAAACCAACCGAATTTTCCGTGGTCACTGCCAAAGTCCTAGAAACCAATATCCAAGGCGGATACCGCAATTAGGTCGTTTTTTTGATACGTACTCTCCAACTGACACTGCATGCCCTCGATGTCTACTGGTATGATCACATGATTCACCACCACAAGTCCGTTTTGCATCGCGTCTTGCAATGCACCTAGATCAGTGATCGCCGTACGAAAATAAAGCCTTGACTTTCTATTCACTAACCGAACAGCCTCCTCGTGGTGCCAGCTGGGTGGTTCGGGTTGAACCCGTTCTAGCAAATAGTTTGGCGGCACTGTTCCAGGATGTAGTGGGTTTTCGCCTGGCAAACGTTCTCCCTATAAAAAGCAACAAATATCTGCTTATCAACACTGCGACCTGGGGGATGTGACTCGCCACAAACTAAAGTCACTGCCCCGTGGATATCCGGAAAATGCTATCCAACCCACTGATATCAATTGCTTATTCTCACATTCTTGACGATTACAAACAGTCAAAAATGCTACGGCACATTCACAAACGCAAGCTACATAGCTACATTCATACACAGTTACATACGTATATGCACCTATACACATTCGCTGTCATGCCAAACATGTATTTTTGTACCTTTTTGATCACACTATGTTAGCTTAACATGATCATGCCTGTAAAGGTGTGCCTCGCATTGTCGAGAATAAAAGGTTATTTATTTATTTAGTTTCCCATGGTCACTGCCAAAGTTCTAGAAACCAATGCCCAAGGCGGATACTGTAAGTAGGTCGTTTTGTTAATACATACTCTCCAACTGACACTGCATGCCCTCGAGGTCTGCTGGTATGATCACATGATTTACCACCACAAGTCCCTTTTACATCACGTCTTGAAACGCACCTAGGTCAGTGACCGCCGTACGAGAAATAAAGCGTTGACTTTCTATTCGCGATCCGCACATCTGTCCCCAATTACAGGACGGAGATGGATGTGCTCGACTCTGGTCCAAAGCTCCCTGTCGATTTACAGAGCACTAGCAGGGCAACGCATTACAGTAACCGCAGCGACCCATTTCTGCTCATATTTCGTAAGCGCATTCACTTTCGCAACCTGTCTCACTGCCAGTTCAGCTCCTGGACTGTGAAGTATACAATTTGTACTCCGCCGTATGCCACATTTCGCAACCAGGCATTTTCGTCACATGTCATGTAGTTGCTTATTCGCTAGGTTCCCTAGGTCTAGGACCTCCCAATAAGCTTTTGAGGTTCGGATAGCGGCTGATAACAGTCTGGGTGACATGATACAGAGGATGGTGAAGTGCACCCCTACTCGAACCATGGAACAAGTGTACAGTTTGATTTTGTATATCATGCGGGTATCACCCAATGGTGCTTTGCTGTGATCCAAGGTACCGTTGCCTTTGAAGTCTCGCTCACATCTAGCGGAAACACCGCGTGAACAATTAGCGGGCTTGGCGTCTTGTTTCTAACGCACAAACAGCGAGTGTACTACTCAGCATGATTATTTGACGCAACAGGCTCCGATGACTGAGCCATGTGCAACGCATGCCAACATACTGACTCTCGCGACGTGTGTTCTTTGCATGACCGGCGACTGAATGGAAGAAGAGGACCAGAGGGCAACCGATGACTTTGTCAAGTGTAGTAAATACCATCAATTCGAGATTGACCTCGGTTGGATCATGTTGAGTTACTGGTTGGAATCCTAAAGTCGATGGACACGTTTGGTTAGATACGCTTGATTACATGATGAAGAACCGACCTCAGTGGCGTCCGTGTTGTGAGTTTCTTTATCACACCTTATCCCGTTTGGCCTCCCTCTCTAACAGCTATTTCAGTTGTTTCTTTCCTTTCCCCATTATTTTCTATTATCATCTAATTGGATTTTATTGCGACATAATAGACTGAGGTGTTTCCCACTCCTAGCTAACGTTTTTGTTTAGGAATGATTGTTGTAGTCCAAGTTATCTATCCACCTACTGGGTGCCTCATTTTCCCTGGCCGTGCCTTCACGCAACTGTTGAGCCATAGTTTAGTATGCACGTTGACCGTACATATCCTCCTCCTAGTTCAACTTAACTACTACTTCGTTTTCTGTAGACACCTCCGTTGGCGCTTCACTTAGCGGGCTACGTGGTGGGGGCAATCTTGCTCGATCGAACGTCTCCCGTCTGGAACACGAAGCCTTGATTCGTGAACTGGAAGTGGTCAGATCTAGCCTTCGGTCCATGCAGACGCAACTGGCGGAGCAGACTGTGGTCGCCAAGGAGCAGATCGACAGTCTTATGGAGGACCGCCAAGTGATGCAGGAGGAATCAGACGCACTTCGAAAGGATTTTGAGGAAAAGCTCCGCTTGGGCAACGAACAGTATGTCCCGTCACAGTTTTTCATGGTCACCTACTTCTTGTTTGCAAAGGGCACACTTCTGTTCATGTTTTTGATGACGAGTGAGCTATCGTGTGCGGGGATTGTGACCGCTTGGAAGTGAACTTGAGCCCACTTACACACAATAGTCTTGGACTGCACGTTCGGACACACTTCACCAATGTTTTCTAAAGCTTGCGACTCCGATAGTGTCGTTTAGTTCCCTTGGTTGTACAGCGGTCCATGCTTGCCCGAGCTAGTCTTCCCATTTGAGTTGGGACATTTCATTGTCTTGCTAGATTTGTCTTCCGGTTTTTCTCGATTTCCATATCGTTGCATCTAAACTCTAGGCTCTACACATTTCTTTCAACTACCAATTCTCTCTCTCTTCTTTATGATACCGTTTTCGCCTCATCTAGTTAGTTGGTATACTCATTCTCCTCGGTTTTCGCTCCCTCCAGTTCTCATCTTCGCCAGTGTTACGCCCCGCATTCGTTCTCAACCACTAACCTTTTGTGCCTTCAGTATTTCCATTCTTTATATTCCTGATGTGGTTTTTTCCGTCATTCCCGACCCAAGGCTCCGGGTGGGGTCCCCTAAGTCAACCCTCTTCCTCGACCTGGGCAACCGGGAAGTACTATGCCCGCACAAATTATGAATCCATGTCACAACAATTCTTCCTTCGTTCTCTCCGCTCTCGCTCTATCTGCTCTCACTCTCGAACTACTCTCATCGGCCTAGGTGCTGGCGGCTGAACCTGCCAAACCACCTTTTACCGCACCACCGTTTAGTCACTATATTCCACGTTTCTTCAACCCCCATTCTCGATCTTCCCCTCCGTTTTCGAGTTCACAACATCATGCCGCCTTGGGCGAACGTTCTCGCTATACGGATCAGGAGCCTAGGTCCAAAGATGCGCCAACTCGTGTTGACAAGCTATTTCTAGCGTCCCATTCCCAATTTAAGCTGGCAGTCTTCAATGTTCGGACGCTGATGCAGATTGGATCACATGCAACCCTTGCTCGCACTCTAGAAACTATGGCCAATGATGTCTGCTGTCAAGTGAGACCCGTTTACAGGACTCTAGCACGACGCTGCGACTAGTTTCACCTTCTGCGAATTCCACTGGCATTTTCACTTCGCGCCTATCTGAGACTCAACCGCCGAAGCCGCTGTTTATGCTGGCGCGGGGATTGCGTTGAGCACACGTGCTGAGATCGCGCTACTAGACTGGATCCCTGTTAACAGTCGACTATGCGCGATCCAACTTGAAGTTTCAGTGCGACTGTCCAGGCGCGAAACCAACAGACGCTGTCTATTCATTGTCGCAGCGTACGCTCCCACAGATTGCAGCCCGGAGTCGGTTAAAGATGAGTTCTATGGTCAACTAGCCAACCTTCTCTGTAAAAAGCGCCGTACCGACATCGTGGTGCTCGCCGGGGACTTGCACGTGCAGGTCGGTAGACTTGAAGTTGACGAACGTGAATTCGGTTGTCAACACGGCCATGGCACTCACAGAACTGACAACGGTGATCGACTACTTCAGCTTTAAGCTGATCACGACCTCGCTTGGTGATGAAACGTTTGCATCCCAACTCCGAAGCTCGGCGAACAAATGAGCTCAGAAATGATCACGACCACTTTCTGTCGAGCACTAGCTTTCGAGTATCCTGGCGGCAACGCGCCACCCAGAGACCCCCATCACCTGGCCAGCTGTGAACACAAAATGACCACGTCGCTATTAGCTTTCGCTGGCGAAGTAGCATACAGGATTCCAAATCAATCTGGAGTACCTATCTCACTTCGGATCACGCGCTGGTGTGTGCCAAGCTTGCGCTACGTCTTGGTGGCTCTCAGCAGCGTCGCCAGAAACGGCTTGACGTAGCTAAGCTTTTTGCCCCGAACGTTCTCCGCGCATTTCAGGATGCCTTGACCTGAAGACTGCCTCATGCACACATATTGAATCACACTGGACACACATCCGCGACGTCATGTACAACTCTGCAACCCTGGTCTGTGGCTTCACCAGTAGTCTTGTCAAACACTGGATCTCTGCACGATCCCTCCAACTTCTCGAAGCCCGTCGAGCAATTCCTACTAGCGTTAAATAGCATTCACTACGCAAGACTACTAACGCTGAGCTCAAACAGCTTCTTCGGGAAGATCGCGAGGCTTGGTGGACGTAGCGGGTCATTGAGATGGAGCATGCGGCCACCTCGGGGAATTTCCGTAAGCTTTCCCTCCCGATCCGATCTACTGGCAGCAAAAGTCCGACTATAAACGAATTTTTATGCGAAACCAATGGCGAACCAATCCACTGCCAAAAACGCTGACTCGAGCCTTAGACCGAGCACTTTGAGCAGCAGTTTAATTGGCCAGCAGCACCAATGATATCCCATTCTGGAGTCCAGAGCTCTCCCTGGTGTGCAAACGCGTCATCACCATCCGAGGCTGAGGTTGCCCACGAGCTTCGCCTCTGACTCTCTCCGGCTCTTTTCAAAGATGTCAGTCCAATACTTGTTCAGGAGTTAACTTCTCTCCTCCAAGAAATCTGGATCACTGAAGTTATCCCCTCCGATTGAAGCCCAGCGGATATTGTGCCCGTCTTTAAAAAGGGCACCCGAACTATGCAACAACCACAGAGGGATTAGTCTCATCTGCATTGCTTCCAAGCTGCTTGCAGCTCTGCTTCTAAGGTGGCTCAGTTTGGTACGCAAACAGAGCATACTTTAAGAGCAGGCTGGGTTCCCCTTAGGTCGGAGTTGCATCGATCACATCTTTACACTCCGCCAAACACTCAAGCATCGTCAAACATTTGGCCAGCTAACAATCGTTGTCTTCTTAGACGTACGAGCCGCGTTTGACTCAGTCGACAGAGCTGCTCGCTGGAGTTGTCTACTGAGAAGGTGAGTGCCCGAGAACTATGTCACTTTACTTCAAGCCATCTACTCTCAAACCTCGGACCGAGTGCGGGTGTGCGGCGGACTTTCGCGCCCCTTTAGTATCACCAGTGGCGTGAGATAGGGTTGCCCAGCATCTCCCTTGTTCAATTTCGCTATAGACGAAATCTTAGAGAGTGCTCTGGAGAACTGCGAACCCAGCGGCGTCGAGCTGCTTCCGGGGGACCAACTTCTGGATTTGGAGTATGCACACGATATCGCCGTAAGCTGCGCTTCCTCACAGGTCGCCCAAAATGTTCTGTGTAGGTTGAATATGTCTGTCTCCCAGTTTGGAATGACCTTCGCACCATCGAAATGCAAGGTTTTCCTGCAGGACTGGCCAGGCGCTGTTCCTGACCTTACCCTTCTACATCATTCATTGGAAGTGGTAGACAAGTTCGTTTACCTCGAAAGCTGCCTCAGCGCTAATGGCTTATCGGATGAGGTCTCTTTGCGCGTCTCCAAGGCTCGGGTTGCTTTTGACAATCTCCGCCATCTCTGACTTCGTGGTGGTCTGAGTCTAGCTCTGAAGGGCCAACTTAGCAATATCACAATGAAAGCAGTTCTGCTCTATGGCTGCGAAACTTGGCCTGTTCGCGCAAAGGATGTTGAGATGCTGTCTGTTTTTGACCACCGCTGCCTTCGGAGCATTGCTGATGTACGATGGCAACATCACACTAGGAATGAAGATATTCGGCGAAGGATTTCCAGATCAGACAGACTTTGCGGGCCACTGGGCAGTATAATTTCTCTGCGCAGACTTCAGTGGCTTGGGCACCTTCTCCGTATGCCTACTCATCGCTTACCTTGCCGTGACCTCTTCGCGCACACAGACGTCGGCTAGAAGCGAAAGCAAGGTGGCCAACGTATGATTTGGGCCACTAGCATGAAGGAGCTAACATCAAAGTTAGTCATGGTCGGGCGCTCTCGGCTCCCTGGCTGAAGGATCCAGAACACACATGGCTGGAAACGCTCTTGGATATGGCAAGAAATCGTGCACAATGGCGGACTTGTTGTGACTCACTATTCCCATGAACATCGTTTTTTCTCTCTATCTTCGTATGTTTATTGTATTTTCCATACGTTGTGGCACTATGCCAATTGTACTATTGGCCGTGTTGAATATATAGTGTATACATTCCCGACTGGTAAACGGTAAACCTGCGTCTGTAGCGTGTAACACGCGCAACAGATGTGTTCATTTTTCATTGGGACATCAATACTGCGCGTCTTCATGAATCAAGCTCATTCTATTCCCACCTACACGGCGTTGCTACTTAGGGGTTGTGATCTGTCCCAATAATTTATGTTTTTTTCTCACATCCCACTCCCTTGTGCGATATTAGTGACATCATGTTCTTATACGTGCATCGAATTGGTACAAGCTCTAATGTTAACTCAGCTGATGGGATGTTTATAGCTTACCACCCAAAGCTGCACCAGTTGACGGGATTCCATCCGGTATCTACCGCTTGAGTTGTTCGCTCGCTCGATATATGCGCGCTTTAATGCTCCGATAAACCTATTTTCATAGCTCACATCTCTGGCAAACACAGGGAGCCTCATGGGCTCTGCTACCAATGAAACTTCATCGTTAGGATGTAGACACAGTGTTGCTCATCGCACCTTGAACACTGAGCCTGTGATGAAGAACTATGGTTACATTCCTATGGGAATCTTTGACGTAACACTTGCCGGGGAGCCGGGTGATAGCAATTACCGGGCTTTGTCCACTCAGTAACATTACTTTTTGCTGCTGCTGTTTTGGTAACAGCCATGCGAGCGACCATCGGAGTTACCACACATTACATCGCTGTGATAGCACGAATGAAGCGATTTGTTGTGTGCAACTAGGACAGTTTATATTTCAGTTAAACAGTGATCCGACGGCTATCATCCGGGCACCGACGTGCAGTGAATCCAGTTTTCACGACTCGTCTCACCAGGATGAGAATACTTAGCGATGCTATGGTAATGGGATAGAATGCAAATAGAACACAAAGACGAATGGGCTGTGACAAATTGAGTAGAAATTATTGGAAAGACATCTTGTAAGATAGATTCGGGAAACTGATTGCAAAAACTTCATCTGCGCCTGCACCATGCCAGCCACTGATGTAGCCGACTCCGCGGCCCCCATCCACGATGACGGCACATTAGTCTGTGTCTATGCCCCTGTCAGTTT